GACCGGTCATCTGGCTCACCGGCACTGGCGTTGGAAACAATGTTAGCCTGCGCGCGCACTGACCAGACTGTTTCCGCACTGAATATGGGGTGGGGAGGTCACTGTTCTTGTTAATAGACTGAAGACGCGTGAACCATGATTAAAGCAGATCCCTGCTCACGCGATTTTCACTTATCGCTGTGTATGAACTATCAGTATCGTGTGATGTCTCGGATAATGGGTTCAAACATGAATCAGAAACGACTCAAAATTAGGCTCGACACCGTTCGTCAAGACATGGAAGCGGTTCTTGGACCTTCGGTTTTCGGTTTCAGTCGCTGGAAAAGAGAATGGGTGGAGCTTTCCATATCCGTTGCCGCCAATCGTCACGTGTGGAGAGGTACCGTCCGCGACATCATTGAGGCCGGCTAGATCAAGCATGATCACAGCCGAAACAAGTACAAGTGGGTAAAATTCGTGTCAAACCGATCGCGTCTATTTCAAATATTTGACGTGTGATTTGCGTAAGCGGGCCGTTTGAAATTTCAGCCGTTTTGATTTTGGCTTCTCATCGGAACGTGGTTGGCGTGGGAAGTGAGTGAGCTAGGTGCGGCGCAGGTGTGCCTCCATATAGACAAATGTACACGTAAACCACGGAAAAACCCACATCTTGGAGCATTGGCAAACCTCCTCTTTAGCGACGATTAAGAATACAGGGCACTGAGTGTGTGGGATCTACCCGAGGCGCGTTATCCTCATCTGCCAAGAAATCAATCACCCCTTGCCTCTTCATTCTGCCGCTCAGGTTACATCATCTTCAAAACCTTCACATATGTCAGAATCGTGAAATCATCACCACTGCGCATATTTTTCACCTGCCATATCAGTCGACTTTTTGTCCCGCCTCTGTGACGTAGTTGCACTGAACACGGCAAGAGTGCACTTATCCACCTTCTCGGCGTTGGCTACTCTAATAGCCAAAAGTAAAAATGCCTTTTGCCGCATTCTGGCGCAATATCTTTAACCCGAAACCCTTGGTGTTTGTTCCTTATACTCAATCATCTAAAGACACGGAGGATACATATCACTTGTTGCTACGGGCTAAAGGTATGTAGTGTTAATGCATGTCAGTTATTGAACACAAGGACAATATCGCAGCCAGCATAACTCTCCACCTTTTTTGAAGTGGGAATAAGTAGGTAAAATTCTCCAGCATTTTGCCCTTCTATCCGTGATTCCCACGGCACCAAGCGAAGGGCAGGTGGAAAAAACCGGTGGCTCGCCGTATTGAATACTGGGTGTTGGCTGGTGCCTCAGCGCTCCCCTCCCCTCCCTATCTGTCCTTTCCCAATGCAGGAACGAAAAGGTCAAAATGAAATTCCTTTCCTTTGTTTGGCAGCTGCTCTGGACGCCTTATAACTAGCGCAAATTGGCATTTTGGAGTTTTTTTTCTAAGGCTGTGCGTTTAGCACAGGCTACAAGGCTCGTCATTGTCAGTGGCATTCCATGTATCGAACCTGTGTG